GGCCGTGTGCCTCTAAAATATGCCCTGACTTTGTCTCTGTGTGTGTGTGTGTGTGTGTGTGTGTGTGTGTGTGTCTATGTGTGCGCGCCCGTGTGTCAGAAATGGGAAGCCAGTATCTGTACATTTGTAATTACAGTCAGGAAATGTTTATTCATGTTTGATTGGGTGGGACCAGCTGGGACTTTGGGTACATTTAAACAAACTATTTCAACATCCTGTTTAAAGTCGCTTTCAGGAGGAGTGGAGGGAGGGAAGAAATTCTCTCTGAGGTGGACTATCGGCCACTTATGTAACACGAAATTTTGAGGCCTCTTTAAACTGATAACAGAGGGGAGAAAAGAGCCCAAGGTTGGCTTTAACCCTTGTATGGTGTTCGGGTCTGTGAGACCCGTGTTCAGTTTTTTTCAAAAGAAAAATTAAACAATTAATTATTTTTTCACGTGTAAATGTGTTGTGTCTTTCCACTCACTCCACTTGATTATAACTGATTTATTTATAACATTTTATATAAAAGAAAAACGAGAAGCACATTAATTCATAAATGTGATCTAACAAAGGTAAAGGGAAAAAATTAACCATGTTTGCTGTTCATATGTCTTGTAATTGGGATGAAGTAAACATCTGTTGAGTAATTTAACATAAAATTGTTTGATAGTGTTAATTTGGAAAGCCAAAACTCTAGCGGGTCCACCAGACCCATGAACACTGGCTGAGTAACAAAAATACAAACACCACACAAGGGTTAAATATACATGGCATGAATGTGACATGTTTTGGTGAATGGCCAAATTAATTTTTTTAATCAGTTCCGATCCAACTAAAGAAAAGCAACAATACTCTACAGACAGTATAACACTTCATTGTGGAAGGTCCCTAAAGCTCAGTAGCAATCCTGATTTCATGGCAGTTAAAAAGGATTTAAAAGTGTATTAGTATAGTAAGATACACCCACTGCTAGTCAGGACCCTTTTGCATCACATTTTAATGGACTTTGTACCTGCTTACAATCAGTTTTAGACTTGTTAGGCAGTGCTACACAACACAACACAAAATAAGGTATAACATCTACATAGGGACAGAGGTTGGTAAGCTAAGAAGACATGATTTTCAAATGCTGTTTAATTAAGTCTATATCCAATTTAATCATTTAAACCGCAATCTCAGCAGGTCAGCAGACCATAATATTTACCAACATCTGGTACCCTTATCATACCCTTAGATATGGTCAGCGTTGACATATTTCATATAGAGCGTAACATTTTAGCTCTTGTAGCCTTCATATAGTTGCTACACAACTGCAAACTGTTTTGAAGTCAAAGGAGTTCCATCGTATCTGTTATACTAACCTGCCTACTGGAAATAATGATAGCACATTAACTCTTTCACGCATAGTGGTCACTACAGTGGCTATTCAAAGGCTGTTTTCTTGCATTTGTGCCAGTGTTGATGGTATACTTGCACATCAACCAGTACATTGGACAGTGATGTGTCCCTCCATACCAAATTCATAATTCAGATATGTAAAAAAAACTCATGTTTAAAAAAATGAAGTTCAAAAATCTTTTTTTCATGCCTGAAGATGAATAAAAATACTTAAGAAAAAAAATCCTGATTGAGGTTGTCATAATTCATGCATGAAAGGGTTAAAATGGTCTTATGAAGTATCTGTATATGAGAAGAAGAAAAGTTCGCAGTCATCTGCAAAATACCTGCTAATGTACAATTTTTGCATCCGAACAAAATTGGACTTCCTCATCGTCTAGATTCAGTGACTCTCATTAAAGAACAATCAAGTCTTTCAAGCTCTGTAGTTTCTCCATCTAGCAACGACCCTCACCCTTGGGAAGCTTAGCACTTGAAATATAAATTATTTGTATTTTTTATTTTAAAAAAGGGGAACCAGAGGAAGGTTAATGCATATCGGTAGAAAGGAAGCATACAGTTGGTGACTGTTGTTTTGTTTGAGCTGCAATGGTTAAAATGGAATTGCCATATCTGGTTAATATTGCTATCAGAAGAGAAATAAATCTGTGCACTGTTTTATAAATTTCCAACATTTTGAATTGAATTGAAGTTACCACAGTGTTTCCAAGTGTCTAAAATTCAAGTGGGAAGAATCATTGAGAAATTCAAAGAGAGCCACACAGTACAGAACAAGCCTGGCAGAGGTAAGAAGTCAAAGTGAGAAAGTATCTAAAGACCCCAGAACAGCCTACCTTCAAAATTTTTCACTTACTAAGAAATTTCACTTCTGCAGAAGAAACACCCTCAAACCAGGCTGAAGGTGAAGCACAACCTGGAGAACGATTATGGTGAAGATCTGCCTCCAAAAGACCAATAGGAAGGTTACTGACTGGCCTGCATGACGCCCCGACTTGAATCCCAGTGAAATTTTTGAGGTGAACTGAAGATCAAGGTCTATGCAGGAAGACCAGCAAATCTAGAGAAGTTTGAAAGATTCGCCAGAGCAAAATAGTCTGGGAGTACTCGGGAGAGAAGGATGTGAGACTACAACAAATGATTGCACTACAACATAACTGTCTATTAGTATCACAGGGCCTAATCATTTTGACGCTGGTAGTTTTCGATTTTTCTCAGATTCATTTTGCTTCTGTGCAAATGTAAGCATCCAAAATAAAACCAGGATGTTTGGAAAAGCTGTGCTCTATTTAACATCGCTTGGGAAATACTTAAAAAAAATCATATTTGGAGGCTAATAATTATGTCCTCATCTGTAAAGTGGGTTGGGAAAACTGGGGCAAAGTGGTCAAAAAAACAGAAAACTTGTTTAGTCTCTAATTTTAGATTTAAGAAACAAGAGGCTTTTTTATGCCATAAACTTTTTCAATTCTCTGGCTTAATGATGCTCTCATAAATGTCTGTTGTCCTTATGTATTTGTTTACTTTAGCCCATTAGACATTTACAGTCGCTTACAAACCTGCAAAGACTGAGTTGCACCTGACAGGTCGATTGTGTCACATTCGCTGTCTATTCCGAGACTATAAACCAAGACCAACTGCTTTTTTAAGGTATTAGAAAAATGTTCCAGCTTTTTGAAATGTTCGAAACAACAAATCAAGATGTGTCTTTCTTTTAGCGTGACGACTACCTTCAAAATTTTTCACTAGTTCAGGATCAGCAACTCAACACTCTGTCTCTTAAAGTGCAGTCCAAAGCTCTCAAGATGTGTTGCAAGGCAGGCAACATAGACAATGACTAAGAATTAATGTATCCTGTGGCCAGTTATGAACACTCATTATGGCCAAACATACAGACGGTTTTTTAGGTAAACATGCCCCAAATATCCAGATGGCGACAGGTTTGACGTGCATCTGATGAGTTAATGGAGCAGGTGCTGTATAAAGCCAAAGATGTTCAATGTTCGTGCTTAATCACTGTTCCAATGCTAATAAGGAGAACTCAGTGGGTGTGAGACAATCATAAAATTTCTACTTCTTCTTTGCTGTTGTCTTTTTTAAATAACAAAGGGTAGAACATGCACAATCATTGTCATGCTTAAACCCATTCACAGCTAATTGCATTGGAGAGGAAACTGCGGTTGTTTGTGCAGCTAGCTCCACAATTTTAGGTACATGCAAGAAACAGAACTTTGTTTGCTCTCAATGTAATGAAACACACACATAGAAATGCTTTTGTCTTTGTTCTACAGAGTTTACAGGATAAATTGGTTTTGGGTTTTTTTTTACCTTTCCACGTGCACATATTCTGTTTACATACTTCCTGTGTCTCAGATTCAGTCTTTGTCGCTCTTTACAAATCCTATATACGCCTCACAGCCGGGGGTCTCCTTTAATGTGGTGGAAACACAGAAGCTTCAGATCTGTAGCTCTGTGTCACCTTAACAGCTAACGATGTGAACCCTGAGGCCTCACACAATGGCTCTGACGGGCTCCTCCTTGTTTCTTATATACCCAGCTGTTTATATCACAGCACCCTCACTGCACATACTCTCTCTCTCTCTTATTTCCTATATGAAGAAAGCGAGCTGGAATTCAGGAAGGAGGCCGTTTGTTTCCCCACGGAGCCCATTTTCATTACCAAGAGAATAGGGCTCAGAGGGCGTGGTCTACAGCAGTGTGTGTGTTGTTTTTCGCCTCTGTATGTGTGTGTATCACAGGAAGGGGTTCTATGGAAGTAGGGACAATTAGTGGTTGTCACATAGCAATCTGTATTGTTTTTCTTTCTCTACTCAGGGAAATTTGAGACAAAATCCAAAGTGTCTTGTGTTTTTAAAAATGGGTTAAATTTACAACTAAGATTTTCTCTCTGATTAATAAACAGTTTGTGTTCCATTTATTGTTTTCTTCTAATGTCTTGATTTAGGCAGATGTGATGTGAAAAAATTGTGAAAAACAGAATGTTTGAACAGCTGGTGGGCGGGGCTGCTGTGCTCAGCCAGAGCTGTGTACCTGTGATGATCATATGAGAGGCTCCAGGATATCATATAGAATCAAGAGCAGAAAAACGGTTTGAAAATGGAACTTTTGGCTTACAGTGGTTCTTCGTACATACAGCGACCTCATTATTTGAAACGTTTGAAACATATTTAAAATGAACATCCGCCAGTGTAATGATTTTCATTAAACAGAATATAAAGAAAAGAATAATAGGTTCCTTTTAAGTTTCCAAAAAATATGTAACAGAAGATTTAACAGTTAACTGTAAACGATTTCTGCGTAGTTTCCAAAACTCAATTAATCTAAAGTTTTGAAAATATTCAAAAGCAAGTGTATACAATGTATTTTGTTTTAGTGACTGTATATGATTTATGAGTTTAAATTATTTATTGTTAATGGATAAATGTAAGAGCACTAGCTTAAAATCAAGAATCTTAAAAGAGGAAGTGCTGCTCTGTTATTGCCATGTTTCATTCACAAAATTACCAACATCAGTGAGTTATGTTGATATTTTTGCCATTTTCGAATTGAAATATTTACACACTTACTGAATAAAGTTCTTTTTCACTGTCTTCCCGCAGGACCGCTTGTTCTTTGTGATGGAATATGTTAATGGAGGAGACCTGATGTTTCAGATCCAGCGATCGAGGAAGTTCGATGAGGCACGATCTCGTTTTTACGCCGCCGAGGTCACATCTGCCCTGATGTTCCTGCACCGACACGGAGTCATTTACAGGTAACCGTGATGTGCTTGTTCGATTAACAGGAGACGTAAGAGAATTTCTGAAAAAAATCAAAGAATGAAGAAAACTGCAGCAAAGCCTTCCTTTCCTGAAATGTACATTGGTCTGAGTAGGTGTCAGAGCGCCCATGTTCTAACAACACATAACATGTTTCCATTGTTTGGACAGTCATTCAGGGGTGGGTGATTCACAGAATCACTGAGCACGTAATTTGTGAACTTTGTTGTCAAACTGCTCAGTGGCTGCACATCATTCTGCTGGTTTGAAAGTTTCTGAATGCACGAACCATAAAAGGTGGAGTGGTAGGTTTGAAAATATATTTAAGAACCTTTAAATATGTACTTTTGAGTTTCCAAGGTGGAAAACACAAATGACCAAATACTTTACAACTATTGCTTTGCTTTGATACATATGCAGCACAGTAATTAAAAAACATAAAATCTTGTTAAAGTAATATTTTTCCTCTGTTCCAAATGTAGTTTTATCTGTTTATTGATAGTGGCTTTGGGGCAAGAACCAGTCCTTTTCAAATTTTGTTATACGGTGCTAGGTAACCATTTAATTTTGACAAAAATGCTGCATAACATCTCTTCTGTGCAGTTTGCATGCTGTCGCCATGCTTAATCTGGTTTACCTTTCTATTATTATTTTGTCATTGCCCTTGGCTAAGGCACTAGCATTTGTCCAAAGTTGGTACATCAGCACTGCAGTGCAGCAGTTTGTAATGCTTAAAGTCAGAGAATGAATGGAGAATCAACAACTGCAAACTTTATGCAGTTTGTCCTGAACATTTTCTAAACACTTTAGCAACGACAATTTATTTATTGTAGAGTCATTTATTGCATGATTTATCAGCCAGTGATGGCGATGCTGGTAGCTGCATCCACCCCTGTATGTAGAAGTGTGTTCCAGTAAGTCTATCTAATATATTATCTGTTCTGAATGTATTTTCTGAGTAAATACTGGGTGGATGAAAAAAAAAACACTTTGGTGTCTTTGAGAATAATAGTAAAGCCGTGATTCTCTTCAAACTCAAAATCTTGGTAACTATTTGTTAAATACCAAGATGTTTGCATTGCAAAAACCTAAAAAAAATATAAAAATATGGAAACTCTAGGACAGGGAAAAATTTAAATAACTGATTTTTGGTAGTCTCAGTTATATTCACCAGCTATGTTTGACCAGTGTTTGATTGTTTTTTTCTAACTTCTTTCCTTTCAAGCTAAACTCAAGTTTAGTTCAGGCATCATCAGTCTTGGGCTGCACATTGTTAGCTTTGCAAACAACCACAGAAAATCTTAATTTTCCAACACAAAGCCCTATTAAGATAGAAAGTGATTCACTCAGTGGGGGTTGCTTTGTAGCTGACAGTTGGTAACTAGTGCACAATCATTTAGGTAGATAACTCTCTAATGGATTTATTTCTCAGTCACATGTAAATCAGTGGTTTTCCTACTGATAGCTGCTTCAGTCATTTGCCTCACTTCGTGTTGCTAACGAATACTTTACCCGGTGATGGCAAGTGAATGTTTGGGTTTCTATACCACTGCTAGTTGGTTCTGTGGAGGATGGACACCCTTTAAGAAAAAACATCCTCAAGCTTCATCAGCTGATTTACAGTAGGTGTAGAACAATTAAGCCAAATATGTGAGTGTAGTTAAACTTCATCCAGGCATGTTGAGTAGCACTGATGTCAGGTTGGTTTGGATCCTTCAGAACACCGACTGAGAGAGGAACAGCTCATTTTAACACAGTGTTGCTTGTTGTCGAGTACTCACAGAGTGTTCTTGTGTTTGGTCATGACCCTGGAAGTGCTCTGCGTTCATACGTGTGCTGAGATTACCTCACTGTCCTTTTGCTCCAGGTATTTTCTGTCTGCATGGATCCATTCAGTCATAATATCATTGTCAACCAATAAGAAACACACAATTGGTCCTAAAAAATCCACACAACTTGAATCATAACACCATTGTGATGGATGGAGACTCAGAGACGATTTTGGTTGTTTGATCCAAAAATATCACTGATGGAAGAAAAGCGTGTTGTTCTCTCTGCTGTTTTCCCGGATGAATGTGAACTTTAATTTGCTGTTTAGAGTCTCTCATCATGCAACCTGTGCATGAGTTTGCATGTGTTTATGTCGTACCATCTGTGGCATGTTAGCAGAGAGAATTTTTGTTTATGGCTTTAAGTTTCCAATTCCCTGACACCTGTATGATCCTCCCAACAGCAAAATATTTAAAACACATAAACAAGCACACATCTATACCTACAGGCTTGTTGATATAAAACATGTTCCTTAGTTGAAACCTGATGTGTCCTCACAGCAGTCTGTCCAGCCTGAATCTAGACTAACAACCAGGTCTCTTTGAATGGTGCCGTGAAAAAAAAAACTGTTGAAATGTTCTGTTGTATGTTAGAAAATACACTCACTGTAAGAATCCAGAAAGAATAAATATATATATCTGTATACTACAAGCGTCATTCACTATTGACCTTCCAGTCTTACACGACCCATAATTTTACCTCCTGAAGCACAGCAGCCTCCATGTGCCCCTTCCTTTTTTAAACATTTCCACATGTCATCCTTGTCTAAGACCATATTTGAAAATATCATGTCCATATACTTGATCTTTTTTAAGAAAATGTCCTGCAACTTTCAATACTCCCACTTTCTAAACATATTTACATGTACTTTTCATTAAGAATTCATAAATACTTTTATCATTAGAAATAAAATGTCTCTAACTTGATGATGACAAAATTCTGACATGTTTGCTTCAAACATCTCAGGCCAGTTTCTTGTCAGTTAATTTAATTTAAAGATTGAGGCACATCTCTGATATTCATATTTCATCTATAAGCCAAACGAGTTTTTTTTCTCACTGTTATCTTAAAAGTTGATTGTTCCACAGCAGAAAAGATCAGTGCAGCAAGAGAAAAACAAATAATATTTAAAAATGTTAAATTCTGACGGGTCAGAGTTGAGTGGAAGGTTTTGCATACATGGAAGATGTATGCAAAAGTGGTCAAAATTGAACCCTAGAAGGCTATGTGAAATCAGGCAGACTGTCAAAACCTTCACAGTGTGGAGACTGTCAAGGTCTTAGGTTGTTCCTGTCAATGATAGAGAAAGAATACCACAACAGCTTTGACCTATCTGAAAAGAATTACATAGCCCTGATTATTCCACCCTGCCAAGGTCGGCCAAAGAGTACTGGGATAGTAGTAAGTTTCTATTCAGTTTCAGATTCACCCTGTTTTGCTCTGTGATGAACTCTACAAACTGAGCAGAACAATGAAAACTGTTTCATTGTTTTGTCTATTCTCAAAAAAAGTCTCAAGAAAAGATAAGTACACTGGCTACTTTTACTTGTCTTGTTTACAGGCTGGCTGCGGGTTCTTAAAAATCTTAAACACCCATTTACTGATAAAAGAGTTTGTATGAATTCTGCCAGCACAAACATTTCAGAACTGAATGCTACTATTTTTGACCCCTCGACACATTTAGATCACACAGTGCAACGGCACTGTTAAGAGTGTGCTATTTTTGGAGTGGGCGAGAAGATTGGACGAAATGTAAAAAAAGCTGTTTGCCAACTAACAAAAAACAAAATGCTTGGTAGTTGACAGGAAAAAGGACAGATGTGAGATTTGCGAGGAAAACTATACTTTCAGTCTTGGTAGTTGTTTGCTTATCAAACTTAGGACAATACGGTGACATTAGCAATCAGGATAATTTGTAAAATTTACCAAATAATTGCATTTTACCTTGTTATTCTGAACCAATACCTACGGGTTAAGGAAGTTGTGTAAAAATTATAGTTTTCCATGTAGGTCTGTGAAAAACTGAGTAAAGCCTTACTGCTTCCATAGAAGAGGATAGATAACTGTAGGCTGCTGTAGGAGGCCACAGTCTTTACAGGGATTGATGTACAAGCAGATTCACCAGAAGATCAGACCATTTAATCCTCATTCTGAACCTAAAAGCCACATATCAGACTCTACAGGCCTCAGTCAGCATACTGAATACTAAAGCTGACCACACAATTAGAAAAAGACTGAACAACTATGGCTTGTTTGAAAGGGGTGCCAAATATCTCTCTTCAAGCGGAGATGGTTGGCCATAAGCCTTAGCACTACTTCAGCCGAAAACTCAACACAGCATATCAGGATAAACACCTCGTGTCGACACCTCGGGTGATGATTTGGGCTCGCTTTCTAGCCACAGGACCTGGGGACCTTGCAATTAAGTTGACCATGCACTCCAAACTCCAGAGTGTTCTAGAGTCAAATGTGAGATTATCTGTCTGATAGCTAAATGCTTGGCTCAAATTGGCTCAAGCAACACAACAATGGTCCCAAGCACAGCAGCAAATTTATAACAGAATGGCCAAAAAAGAAAAGTTGTCCCTGTGGCCCAGTCAAAGTCCAGACCTCAACCCGACTGAAATATTGTGGGTCGACCTTAAGTGAGCTGTATATAAATGAATGGCTGCAAATGTTGGTTAACTGTTGCAAAGAAGAGTGGGCCAAAAGTCCTCCACGACGACTTTTCAAAGGACTGCATAGAGTCCTGTGAAAACCTTCTTTCTCACGACGTGAAAGTATTTAAACCTGTAAGCATCATGTCAGAGCAGACACAACAGTTTTATGTAAATTAACAGTCAATGAGACCAGTGACTATCCAGTAATCGGTGCAGCTCTACAAAGTTACCGTAACTTCTAAGCCTATCAAAGGGATGAACATGAGCTAATGCCAGTCTAAACTAAAATAGCAGCCTGGTGATGCACTTTCAGCTTACTCTAAAAAAAACTTCTCATTGAACCCAAACTTTTTGATATTGTTAATGATACCTGATAAATACAGCAGTTGTTCACAAATAAGCAGGTACCCTGGCTGGTTATGATGTGAGAACCTCCAAAAACTCTAAGCCTTTAATAGTCTAATTAACTGGTTCCAGTCTTGGCATTAAACATTGGGCCTATTTTT